ATTCCAGGATACGGTGTTTCTCTCGGCCATGGCGTCAAAAACATTCTTGGCCATTTCCGGATGCCCATTCTGGGCATATGCTGCTAGCATCGAGGTTTGCGTCACAACGTTTCGTTCTGGCATCAAACCGTACATTCTCTCCGCCTCGGTCATGTGCCCTCTAGATGCGTACGCGTGTGCCATGGACGTCCAGGACACTAGGGAATATTCTGGCATACGATCGAACACCACTTTAGCGCTCTCGAGATTTCCCTTGTGGCCATAGCCGACAACCATTGAAGTCCAGGAAACAACGTTGTGTTCCGGCATAGATTCTAGAATTATTTCCGAGGTCGCCAAATCCCCGACAGCACAGTAGGCATTGAGCATAGCGGTCCATGTGGTGACATTCTTCTCGGGCATCATATCAAAGATCTCCTTGGCACGCGCAATATGCCCTTGCCGGGCAAATGCTACAAGCATAGTCGTCCACGTCACCACGGTAAGCTCGGGTATATTCCGCCACAAGGACTCGGCATCGGAGTATCTTGCTGCTTCCACTAGCGCTTGCATCATCGCGTTCCACGTCACCACCGTTCGCGCGGGCATGGTTTGGAAGAGAATCATAGCAGAATCATAATGCCCATTTCGGGCATATGCTGTTATCATGGCATTCCAGGCCACTGGATTCCAGTAGGGCATCGAATCGAGGAGCAGCCGCGCCTCCTCGAGGCGTCCAATCCGTGCGTACGCCGTGACCATGAGATTCCAAGTGTGTGAATCGCGGGCGTGGGTGGAATCGAAGATCGCGCGCGCGTCCCCAAGCTTGCCGAAGCTCCCGTACATCTGGATGAGGAGATTGGAGAGAAATGTATCGTCCCTGTATGGGCTGCCAAGAACAAGCGCGTGGAGCTCTCTTCCCTGCGAGACATCTCTGCAATTGCGGACGCGAGAGCACAGCTGCTGGAACGATGGGATCGGACTGGAGAGCGCCAAGATCATCCAAAAGCCACGCGCACAAGTTTCTACCAGATCACGCAATTGGGGGAAAGAAATCGTGCTTGCATTTCGATTCCACTCAAGGTAACGATCGAGAAAATCCCGATTCACACAGTACTCTCTGTACGGAAGAACATCAGTTCAATCAAGAATGGTCAGCAAAAGCCGAGATTACACAAACAAGAACCTACGCGAGGAAGAAACCCCAGAGCACGATCAATCACGCCGGATCTTGTGGGAGTCCTGGCTGGGATCTGGGGAGTTGGGCGTGGGAAGCACCCAGTGCCGAGGATGCCGGCAGAAGAATGCCCAATCCGGGATCAAGACGAGCAAGACAACGAACACCGATCCGCCATAGACGAGCACCATCGTCTTCAAGGAGGCAGTGAGCAGCCCAGACGCCATCGCCAGAAGCGCTGCTGCCACCAGCGCGTACTGTAGGATCTGTTCCGCCAAGCTGGGATTCATCCTGTCTCAAAACCAAAGAACCGTGGAACCCTAATTTCAATATCACCTTATAACTTCTATTATTACTTTTATTTCAAACAGATACTTCAACTTGGTAAGTCTACAAGATCCAAAATTTCATCGATGGCAAGATCATTCGCCTCGAGCAATGGGAATTGATCGATATCAAACACCACATTGCTCGATCCGAATGACTCTTGATCTTTGTCAAGTCCCTGTTTAATGTCAGTGAAGTTAAGCCCAGTATCGATCACCCCGGCTGTTGTTAGTATGGACGACGATGAAGATGACGATGTTAGCGTGGGTGCAGCTGGTTTCCTCCTCTCGCAATCAAACGATCTTGATCGTTTCACCATGCAGCCTTCTTGTTGCTTTGGAGCTTGGCGTTTCTCATTACTGCCGCTTACATCTTTCTTACCATATATTACCTTTGAAACACAAACACACAAAGGTAAACATCCAGGCATTGAAAAATGACTACTTACATATTTCCCATTTCGTGAGTCTTTGTACAGTAGCAAGTAATCCCCCTCGCAAAGTTTGTGCGATCGGATAAACTCCCCTGTGTTCTCCAATAGATACATTCTGCTCTTGTTGTTTGGCCAAAACCTGGACAAGAATAACAAAGAGAAACCCTTACAAATCTCTTAATAAGTGCCAAGTTTACCTATATCTAAGATTCCAAGTTCGTTTGCTGGTCATGTCCTCCATCGCCAATGTCATTCCTTCCCTGGCCGACAAGTAGGGAAGTCGAGACTCAGCTTCTTTCTGCATAAAAGAACTGGATCACAAAAAGGGTTATTAAACAGTAAGTCACCCACCTTGGGAAGCACAATTCTTCCCAAATTCCCAACGTCACTGGGCTTGAGCTGCTTCTGCAGCAAAAACTTCAGATTCTTGTTCTGCAAGCCCTGCAAACATTATCAACAAGAACGTAAAGAAACAGAAGTTCCGAAAATGTGGGCACCTGCGTGTGATCGTCAGGAAGTGTAGTTTCCGCATCTGAAACGGCAGCCACAGCAGGAGCAGGAGCAGCAGCAGCAGAAACAGAAGCAGGACCGGGCTTTGAAGTGCCGAGCATTGGCCTCCTCTTGCGAGCCATGCAGTTCTTCCTGGCAGCCCTAGTCGAAGCACAAGGTGACGAGCTCGCAACGGCCATGATCTGCCCTCCACCCATCAACGTCGATGACTCAATGATCTGAAGCTGCTGCTGTGGAGGAGGAAGGCTCACGAACACATTACTGTGATCATGGGAGTAGAACCCGTTCCCTTGCTGGTGCTGATCCTCGGGAAAAGCAGCAGAATGGTTCCAGGGGGACGGATCTTCCGCGCTCCAGCAGTTACCCAAAAGCGGCATCTTGATCGGGTCATCGCTTTCGCCCTCCGCTCCAAAGATCGATTGGATTTGCATGAAGCTGTGGTTGATCCGCAGCTGCTGCTCCATGTCTAGATTGCCTAGCTTGTCATCCTCACCCGCAGATCCCCAAGGCTCGTGCTCAGCCTCGTCGATCATGAGCGCCGGGTGATCGGCCTGGTCGAGAATCCATGGCACATTTTGATCGCGCTCGTGATCATCTGCAAGCTGGAAACTTGTGCTACCGTTTTGGTAATCGCTGGAGAGAGAGGAGGGATTGGAATCGGCCGCCATAGCCGGCAAGGCAAGGGAAGCAAAAGATCTTCGAGAAAATTATATAGGAACTGGCATCTCGAGCTCCTTCCCAGCAGCATTTGTCCGCTAAATTTAGAGGCGCTCTAGGGCTTCTATTCTAGTTTTGCAACACGTGGACAGTTCTGGAGCTCTCGATCCGACGCTCGTGCATGGAACACTCTCAGACACAAGCCTTGAATAAAACTCCCTTTCGCTTTTTCTTTTCCTAATCGCTTAAAGTTTCTCCTGTTTAAATATTCCCTCTTGTGACGTTAGATCCGCCGTCCATCCGGCGGCCGGGATTTGGCTCATCTGGGCCGTCCGTGCAATGCCTCCCCGGATTTCTGCCCAAATGCCCGCTTTTTCGCGCCTATCTTACAAAGAAGTGCTGAGTAGTGCTTTCTTGTTGCTTCATTGTGGCAAGGGCTAGGGCTAGGGTTCTTCCACTCCACGTCCAGGCGCCTCAAGGTAGCTCCCTCCTTCCTCTCTCGCTCTCTCTCTCTCGATCCACCGCCAGGGCGAGGCGATCTCGCTTCTCTTGCTTGTTGTGGCAATGTGGGTAACAATGCGGCTGCCTGTGTGGCAGGATGTCGCCTCCACCGCCGGGAAAGGCTTCCAGGAATCTCGATCTCTTGAGCTGGCCGGATAATCCCGACGCATCGCTCCAGATTCGTACCCCAGTGCGCGTCTCGGCGACCAACGACAGCAAAGGCTTCGCGTCGGCGTCGGACGAGAGCTACCGAGAGTATTCCTCGGCAGGCCGCCCCGGAATCCGGACTCACCAGGTCGGGATCACCAAACCCTCGCTCACAGTTTTTTCCCCTCTTTCTTGCTTTGTTTCTAAGCTTGCGCCTCTTAGCCCGCGGGCGGTGCTTGTACTTACGCGTTTGGAGAGCAACTGTCCTCTGAGGAGGCCGAGGCGCTGCTTAAGCGGTGGGTGCTCATTTCTTTTTCTTTTTCTTTCTTTTTTTTTTGTTGTTTGATCTCCATCGTACCACTCTCTGTCTCTTTTAGGCGCCCCGGATCAGAATCAAAGATGAAAGAAATGTCAGGAAACAAGATTTTCTGCGACGAGCCTGGTGCTGTTCCCGCCGCCCCAGAACGCACTGGAGTGAAACTCTTTCAGGTGATTTTGGTTCGTTTGCGTGAATTTGCTAAGCGGAAAGGAAAAATTGGATCTTCCAGGCGATTACTTTCGGTGACAACGATAATACGTCCCCTAGAAAAGCCACCACCCAAGCAGAGCTTGCAAAGCAGAAAGAATTAAGCGGAAGTCAAGCCATTCCCGACGATGACGCACAGCACAAGCGTCTCCAGTCCAATGCCAAGGTGAAGGAGCTTGTCGGTAGCAACATTTTTGCTCCAGAAGACAAGCTACCACAGAATGGTAGCACCCCAGTTAAAAAGATCAAGGAACCAACAATTCCTGTAGATGATGCTCCCGGCCTCATGGTAAAGTTCATCTGGAACTTCTGATGCTTTTCTAACACTTTGTTAATTGCAGTCTCCCGGGGAAAGGAAGCGGTCACTAACACAGAAAACTGCCGAGCTTTGTGGCAACGACATTTTTAAAAATGATCCTCTAAAGACTCCATCCGACTCGAAGCACCTGAGCAGCGCAAAGCTTCGGGAGATGAGTGGTAACGATATATTTGCTGATGACAAGCCGGTGCCGCGAGACTGCCTTGGTGGTGTGAGGAAGCCACCGGGTGGTGAAAGCACCATTGCACTGGTCTAGAAGATTTTCCTTCATTTCCTCTCTGCTGGTGATTTTAACTTAACACTGATTTTCTTTTGTCTTGCAGCTCTTTGGTTGTAATGTTTTTCTTTTGTATTTCGGGCTTTTTAATCTCTCAAGAATCTGTTTTCTTTTTTCTTTTTCCTCTTTTTCTGTTACAGCAGAACTACCTGGGCCAGAGATGAAGAAGCGCGCGAGGCAAAGGAAAGCTTTGAGAACAGTGGGAGAGCACAGCTTCTGCGTGGTGATGCGAAGCGAGCTCCTGTCCGAGAGCTGCTGCTTGATCTTGGTAAGCTTCGACAGGAAAAGTTTAATTTTTTTTTTCTCACTGTTTTGTTCTCTTCTTGTTCTTGAATCTTGTCTGGTCCGTGGCAGCCAGTTCCCGAGAACTACCTGAGCACCGCCGCTAGCAGTCGAGGCAAAGCGATCCTCGAGACACGAAGCGGTGTGAAGTGGGAGATAGAATACGAGGCGGAAGCAAAGAGCCAGACAATCCGGCTGGGCGCAGCAGGATGGCACGCCTTTTCGGTCTACAACCAGCTCAATCCAGGTGACTCCATCGTCTTCACGCTGGCCGCTAGCAGCTTTATGTGCTTCTCGGTGGTCTTGTTTGGAAGAGATGGAGTGGAGAAAGAGGCAGTGCCGTTGCCCGTGACGCTCGATGGTGACCAGCAGTCGTGACAAACTACCTAGATCCTCTTGCTTGCAAGAAAAGAACTTGCTCGAGCTGCTCTTGCTTGCTCGGCTTCGAACTGATTTTATAGCTGGATTCTACGTTAAGCCATCGTAGAAGGACGCGTCCACTACCAAATTCCTCGCTACATCAAAACGTGAGGCCCGTTTTCTGGGGGAAGACCACTTCACCGGGCTTTGGCAATGCAAAAGAAGATTTCACTCGTCTAAACATTCAAGACTTGGAGAATCCGCGTCACCTCTTGGTATTTCTTATGAAATGGACTTGCACAACCAGATCTTGTTGTGCTCTCTTAGGATCTTAGATGCATAAGCATTTGCATGGCTCTCCAGACCCCGTCCCAAGCCCAAATGAGCGCTGCGTTGACTTTAAAATGTCATCTGTCCTCTTTTTTTCGCGAAACTTTGAATCTTCCTCGAGATCAAAAACAGTTCGGCGTCGAAACAAAAAGTTGTTCTTGCGCTTGGCTCCCCTTGCTTTTCTTGTCCTCTCTGTTGGTTCGTTCCACCTTGTCATGTTACATACATTCTGGGAATCTACGGTAGTACCCGGATTTGCGACTATAAGTCAATAGCAAATGACGCGGGAAGCAGTGTAGATCTTATTACTTATTCACACCTGCTCTTGAAAATCCAATCCAATCCCTCACGAAACTCTTGAAATTTTTGCTTAGAACAGCTTTAGTTGGACTCGTTGCAGTGATTGTAGGTGTGGGTGTACACATATACCACGCTAGAAGTAGAACCACAGCCCCCCTCCTCCTTCTCTTCCTTGTTCTTTGGGGGCTCGTAGTCGTTCTCGATGGAGCGAAGAACACTATGGTGGCAATCCATTGCCTTGACCACGTCGTCCACATCAAAGTTTCCAATCACCACCAGGCCTGACGACTCGCATTCCACCTCGTCAACCCCTGTTGAGAAGACCACACTTAGCGATGCAATCCAAAGATAGTGTTATACCTTCGATCTTCTTGAGTGCGTCGATGTTTCCCTCACAGCTCCAACAAGTAGAGAGTGTCACCTTCTTCATGCTTGCAAGCAAAAGGAAACTAGGGGGATTTTGCTTGAAACTTGCTCCCTCCAAAAACCAAAGAAAATTCTGATGCCTCGCTGCGACTTTGTTGCGGTTTTTATAGCTGGATTCTACGGTATCGTAAGACGACGTTTCTACTTCCAAATTCCTGGTTCCAATTACGAGGCCCGATTCTGGCGGAAGACATTTCAACCGCAATGCAAAAGAGAATCTTCACACGGATCACACGGAGACACATAGGCGTCATGCTATCATGGATTTGTTTCAATGTTGCAACTTGACACTCTCGTGGTCCCTTGCTGAAATCGCTGGAAGAAAAGGTCCATTCCAGCTGGGAGACCACGCTTAAATCCAGAAAAGAGTGGTAGGCCACGTTCATGGACCAGTTTTCTAAACTTTGAAGCTTGAATAGCATTATATATTCTTCTAAACATTTCCAATCGCATAATGTTTGGTGTTGTTGACAATAAGAATTTTAAACTTCTTAAATATATGTGTACATCAAATTCCTCGTGATTTTGGCAAATGACCATAATGATTCTAGTGTTGGTTGTAACTTTAACACTCTATTCTTCCTTCTTAAAGTTTAAAGTGGGATTTATAAATATCCCATATATTTTCAGTCGAGATAAACATAGCCTAGAGACTGCTATAAGAACTTGAAGGTTCTATGAAACCATCGATATAATAGTTGACAACTATAATAAAAACCAAAATCTATAAATCAAGAAAATATGGAACTAAAGCTAAGACATTAGGGCCACTGTACCCCATAAAACACTGTATAGCAAATGATAAACTTATTTCTGCGTAGAATTTGGAAAATTCTACTATCCTATTGTTTTATGTGCACTAAAACCTTCCACTACAAAAAGGCAGTAATTTAAATCACCTGATTTTCTAAGTTTCAACTTAAAAGTTTTTGTTTTGGAGAGGGCCGCGCGTACGCGAGCCCTCAGCTTCCACAAATTACGACGTCCACTCCTCCACTTTGGGAAGATGGTAGGCCGGCCAAGCCGAAGTGCAATGGGAAAGCCGAACCTAGGCCATTAGCCTTCATGATCACTAATAGACCCCGTCCAGGTAAGTATGTAAATCATACTCAAGCCCTAGGCTATATACTGCTTTGGGGGCTTTATTCCACACCACGGCATGTGGGATAGGTTAAATCCTCTAGGGTCTAGAATCTAGGTTATACCCTTGGCATTTGCTAATTTATTCTAGTTGTTCCTTTTCAAGGAAGCAAAATGCTGTGTATATACAGATAAGAGGAACAAAGCAAGAAGGGAAGGAAAAAAAAAATTTCGTCCGGCAATGCACCACCTCGGGAAGAAAAGAAAGCTTATTTTACACATACTCCTGCGACAAGCCACTTTAGCCGAATCCAAATCCTTCGCTCGCTTCGTGGATCGCCAGGAGCAACCGGTCGTGCATTTGATCTTTGGACGAGTACTCCGGCAAATCGAGCTGGTTGAAACTGCGAGAGCGCAAGAACGAATTAGAAAACTATGGAGGGAGAGGGAAAGGGAGAGAGAGAGGGAGAGAGCGAGAGTTACCATGTGTGAGCCGAAGGGAGACGCTCCGGTGCACCGTAAGCTTTGTGAATCTGAAACTTTTGAGGCCCTGAGATGCCTTGCAGTGCCTTAAAGCCTTCCAGTGGGACCTGCACAGGCCACAAGATTATTAACTCAGATGGAAGAACGTCTAAACGATCATCTATCGCATACCTTGGATGTCCCCGTAATAAACTGCAAAAGCCGAGCCATATCTTCCTTGCTGAAGTCTTGTACCACTTCCCAGAACCATTGCACCACTGGGGAACCGCTACTGTAGCCCGTGTACTCGGTGTTGGCTCTCAAATCATCCACTGCAAAAAAGCAACCGTCGTTAAGTGAAGATCAAAAAAACAAAACAGCAGAACTTACAATCTATTTCAGGCAGACCACTGATGAGGAGCTCCAGTTCCTTGTCGTTGAAGATGGATATCAACTCTCTGGGGACCAGCTCATTAAAGCCTTCCAAGAAGGCGTTGATTTGGGGTCTGATCGCCGTGGTTAATCTGTGCTCCGCGATGAGATCCACATACTCGTGCTTGTTTTCTTCCGTCACTCGGATGTTTCGGCCTCCAGGAACCAGCTCGTGGTCAGTCACCTGTAGTAGCAAACAAAGTTGGAAGCCAGTCGCAAGAAAAATTGTAAGTACCTCAGTCTTTTCGTAAAGAATGTGCTTCTCTTCATCCGCGTCGATGCTGAATGTTAGCCCAAGGATGTCGTTCACATCATTCTGTATTAAAACAATGAGCATATTTCACTAAAACAAACAGGGGACACACGGACGCACCTCAAGGAGCCACTTCAAGTTTTTGTAGTAGTCGGGATCAACAGCTTCAATGTCGTGATATGTCACCTTGGTGCCAAGTATATGCTTGTAAAACGATCGAGTAAAGTAGACATCCAGAAGCTGCCCGTCAAATAACGCCTTAGAAACCTGCCACGAAAAAAGTTTCACAACTTTCCTTCCACGAAAGACATCTGGTACTTACCACACGGCCAACAAACTTGAAGTACGAAAGGTGTTCCGTCTGATACACCGAGTTCGGGTTGGGCTGGAAAGTGGACTCGTTCCCCACGGTCGTAAACAGAAGCGCTCCTTTGTCAAAGATAACCCGTGAAAGCAGCTGGTACCACTCCCTGGTCAAGCCACCCGCATCTATTCCCTCTTCCCCTTGAAACTGCACTGTAAGCCGCCCCTTCACTTCATCAGGAGTCCGCATTCTCAATTGGTTATACGAGTCCTCCAGCACGTAGGCTCTCCTGACCGAAATCCGAAGAGGTCCGAAGTGCTGTTGCTCGTGTTGCTGCCTGATCCTTGATCGGAAGTAGGCTCGTTTGTTGTCAAAGTCGATAAGCCTGGGAGTCTTGAGTAGAAGCGAGAAAGACTTCTCCAGCAAGCCCGAATTTTGCCGCAAGAAGGCGTTCAAAAGCCGACGATGCCTCTCCGCAAACCGTATAAAGTTCAAGCCTCTTTCGTCGGGTCTATTCGTCAACTTGAAACTCGAACTGCCAGTGTGAGCCCAATCGGACGTGCTGCTTGGTGGTGATTCTAGATCAATCCCTGTTCCCTCGGTCTGTGGTCTCAGCTTCTCGCACAAAACCAGAAACGCCTCCACAAAATCCAGCACTTTCTGAGACCCTTGGGGAAGTGGAGAGGTGACGGCCCCCAAAGCACCTACAATGCTTGAAGACGAACTCGTAGTAAGCCTGCTTTCTATCCTTCCTATGGATATGCTGAGTTGCTGCCACAATGGTTCCGTAACGACGTTAAGCTCGCGTATGATGTCCTGGAGCTCGTCTGCTTTAGCGTCCCGGTTTGTAAGGGCGCTAAGAGCCTGTAAAACTCTCAAAATTGCAGTTCCAGCCGAAGAGCTTCCACCGGAAATATTGTCCGCCAGCGACCGCAGCTCATTGACGGCCGGGACACTAAGTTTATGAGCTGCGTCTGCCAGTTCTGAAATAAACAGTCGACGGTGCAACGGAACAGCGTCCGATAGTTTCTTCAACACTTCGGAAACACGGGAATATGAAACAGAAGATAACCTGCAAGACGAGTACGTCAGGCCACAATCGAGTAATTTGTGACAACTCACCCATCCTGTGCCAAAAGTCTGCACATGTTGCAGAGCTCATTCTTTGGCAACTTTGAAAGAATATCAGCTTCCGTTTTACTCAAAGTAATCGATGGACTTGGCGGGTTCTCCGGTTGCTGTTGAGGTGACTCAGAAGATGTCTCTTGAGGAGCATCCGATGGCTGAGTATCCGAAGGAAGGCCATTTGAGTTGTCAATCGCATCACTGTCCATACCAGTGCAACTCGTGACTACTTCTAGCAAGCCAAGAACCTGTTGAGAAAATCCAAATTTACTAGTGTCAGGAAACAGAAAAGGATGACTCACTTGCTCGAGATGTTGGCTGCTGCGAGAATAGAGTGGTCTGTCCAGCAGTTTTAAAAACAAAACTATCGGTATATACTTCGGTTGTATATCGCTCGCGGTCGAAGAAGACGGATTCTCATACATCTTCTCCTTTCCCTTATCAGCAGCTTCGTTTCCTCTTTCTGATGGTTCCTGCTCCAGGTATAGTAGAGACTTTGCTACAGAGGTATGACTACGTGCTAAATGTGTCAGTACTTCCAATACTCGACGAGAAACAAGCGGTGGAATTCCTGCAATGTTTAAAAAGGTTAAAAGGTTCCCACGAAAAAAAGAAAGAAAGAAAAGAAATACCATCCGACAGCTGAGCGCGTGCATACACGACGTTCCACTGACAGCCATAAAGCCTCTGAGAGGGCGCACCATCAGCTGATATGGCTGCACAGTATCCCTCCGATTCTGGCCTGAGCATGTCCAATAGAAGACGGAGCAATGCAGACCTGGTTCCACTATGGACACAAAGATTCGAAAGCAACCTTTGCAGTAGACCTTTAATCAATGGCTGCAGTAAAATGTAAAACAGGTTTAGAAAGCATTCGAGAAACATAAGAAGACAAACCTGTGCTAAGCGCAACAGCCGAACTAGCGTTTTCACAGCTTGCTCATCCACCAAAGCCTTCCCTTCGGGCTCTTTTGGACCAGAAGCAGAACCCGAGCTTCGAGCAGAAGGTAATCTGCGACCAACTGAAAACATTCCCGCACTGACGCCCCTATCAATGCCGTTCGTCCTCCTCGCAGTAAGCCTAGGTCCCCCGAACGGGTTTCTTGTCGGAATGTTGGCCATGGCTCTTTCCCGAAGCAGCTGTGCCTCGGCAAGCAACGCAGGAGACAGCGCAGCTAAAACAGCGTCCGATGATGTCAGCAACACCTGACCAAGAGATGTTAACAAGGAGATGGAAGAAAGACAAACTAAAACGTACCTCCTCTCTTAATTCAGCCGGGAAAGTGGCAATTATTGATGCACTATCCATGTCCACTGGTCTACCTTCAACTTGCTGACTTTGAAAGATGCGCTGAGCCTGCTGCTGCTCAAGCACTTCAGCTTGAAGTTCGGGAGGTAGCGCAGCCAGGAACTCCGGATCGATTTCCTCAGTGGGAGGAGTCGGATGATTTTCAACGTTGTTTCTGCTACTCTGGTTCTGCTGGGAAGCCAAAACTTCTGCTCGTAAATCCTCGGGAAGAGCCTCCAAAAACCTCGGATCGATAGAGCTTGCATCATTTCTTCCCGTGATCTCTTCCCCAGCATCCTGCTGATCTGTAGCCTGCGCCTGAACTGAATCCTCCTGCACAGTCGCTTGCGCTTGCTGGCTGACAACATTGTCCAGGTCTTCGTCAACTTCCATGTGAGCCTCCCTACTAGCCGATTCCAAACCACGAGCTGGAATCATTTCTTCCGCACCGAGCCGTTCAGAGTGAACTTGCCTATCATTCTCTTCCCGGCCATCGGCACTACCAATCTCGACTTCCAGGCTCCTCAAACTTTCACCAAGAGTTGCACCGCTTCCTCCACTATCTTGGCTTCGTTCAGAGTTCTGACCGGCTGGGACATCCTGTACCGCCATATCTAAATCTGTTTGACAAGCAATACCCGAAGGTTCCCGGCGCTCTGCGTCCCCAGTAGCTTGCGTCTCCTGAGCAGGAGCATCAGCTGCAACTGCATTTGCAGCCGGCTCAGCACTTGGTGCTTCGGTACCAGCTTGTCTTGCAGCTTCTGGCTGATCATCAGACGTAGCCAACGCTTGAAGCCGTGCAACGAAGGCACTTTCGACTGCTTGAGCAACAGCTGTTGATTGAGTTCCTGACTGCGTTTGCCCGTCGTCCGTCCAACTGCTAAGACGCGATTCACTCCTGCCACCTCTACGTCCCATCAGTAGCATGGGGTCCATGGACGCGTCCAGTATCTGAGCAGGTTGCAAGGCTCCCCGTTCTCCAAACAACGCATCGGTGACTTGATCCGTCATGAATATCCGAGTACCTTCAGAATTACCCGCCAGCAAAGCTTCTACGTCTCTGATAGTGTTGCCACTCCATAGCGAGGCAGTCGACACTCCAGGCCCAGTCCCTTGAGATGGTCGCACCAAAAGTGGATGACGAGAAGCACCTCCTCTCGGCACGCCGTTGGAAGCACCTGATCGATACGTCCCGACACGGGATCTGTCCGCACCCCTCGACTGTCTGAAAGATCCAAAAATGTCGTCCATGCTCATGTTCTGGAACGTCTCCACATGTAGATCGACCGTGTTCCTGTTGCTCTGGCCGAGTACGTGAACGTGGTTGAGGCCCGTCAGTCCATCAGTCCATCGAACTTCAATCACCCGATCTCCCTGCCAGGCACCATCATCGAGGTCGCCCATGTCTTCGAAGTCATCGCTCAGGCTGTTGTCCTGGTCCTCTACATCAGTATCCGGAGGTGACATGTGAGGAACACCGTCGTTGCCTTCAGCATCTTCATCCTCCTCTTCCTCTTCCTCCTCATCTTCTTCCTCTTCCTCCCCATCGTCAACTTCCATCTCATCTTCCTCTTCTTCCTCCTCATCCCCTACATCTGCTCCAGAGTTCACCCGGAAAACCATCCCTCTTCCAGCGTCATTGAGCACCTCGCCAACCTCCTGCATGAAAACTTCAGCCTCAGCGCGAGGATTGTCACGCTCCTGCCTCGTGTCCTCGGCCATGGACGAACTGTTGAGCTGCTCTTGTTGATCAGCGTGTTGAGCTATCTCACCATCGTGCTGCAGCTGCAGTGGATTTTCACTTGCAGATTGCTGCGCATCTCCTTCCTTCTGATTGCCACCCTCGACCCCGGCAGGCTGCTCCAAACTGCTTCCAGTTCGGGACAACACCTCCAATGCTCTAAGGACGACGTTGACAACCTTGTTAGCATCGGGGTGGTCCAAATCAACCGCCTGGAGACTATTCGTCAGGGACCGCACCATTCCTGCGTCAACCATTGCCTTCGACATGTCAGTGGAGAATCCCAAGGTCTGAGGATTTCCAGTTGACGGCGAAAGCAAGATTGAGATGATCAAGTTGACGAATGCATGGATCCTCTTGATGGTCGGTTGTGAAGACTGTGATCCTGAAGGTGCCTGAGTAGCCATATTCAACGCCTTCACAATTTCGTTGAGCACCCTCCGCCTTCCTTCACCAGACCGCACGCAGACAGCTCTCAGAAAAGCTGCAGCCCTCTCAGAAAGCTTCCCGACTTCAACAACGTCCGCAGGCGTTTGGTGAATTCCTTCGGGTAGAATCCTGTGAACAATGTGATATAGAAGTCCACCATGGCCTACAGCCTCAGCTCCTGCCTGTGACGGACCCCTGCCCTGGCTACTCTCCGAGTCCCTCCGCAGCACAACACTGACAGACGAAGAATACATCAAAAGTATCTCCGTCATCAGTTTGAGAATGAAGCTCACTTTCCCCGCCGCCGCACGACCAGCCGCTTCAAGCAGTGCTTCAGTTTCACATGATGTTTTCTCCAGCTTCTTGTCTATCTCCATTGACGTACCATCACCACCTTTGCCAGAAGGATAATGCAGAATCACTTCCAGCAGCTGATCAATAACGCGGGAGAAGCTATGAGGAACTCGCTTGTGGCCTTTACCACCTCTGTCCTGGATCCTGGCTGCCACCTCGCCCCGGCTGCCTTGTCGTTCTTTTTCCTTCCCCTTCTCCGTGGCCTTCTCCTTGTCCTTCTCTTTCTCTCGCTCTTCCTTCGCCAGAGTGATGGTAAGCCTTCCACCATTACTAGAATCCAGCTGACAAACGTTTGCCGCGGCTTGCATAAACATCGCTGGATCACGGGTCAGGACAGGCGCCAGAGTTGACAAGAAAAGGCGCGGAGAGACGCGTCCATTCTGCCGAGCAGCAACTGTAAAGCAGTGCCGTATTTCCGATTCCATAGCCAGGAGAAGCGTCTGAGGATCCTCCATAAGGTGCCGGATAATTGCACCAGCAACCTCATCAAAACCAGACCAGTTGGCCGGAGGAATATCCAGCAGTGCAGTGAGCCCCCCACCGTCGAGAAACTGCAGTGCCATGGCATGGACTTTCGTCAACCTTGCACATAGCTGCAAGACCGCTTGCAAAGGCATGGGCATCAGAGGCATGTGCAGCAACCTGCAAACCACGGCCATTGACTTCTCTCGCTCTTCGTCCGTCATATATCCCGCAGGCTTTCCCAAGATGGATGCAAAAGGTGTTTGATCCTGAGCTTCACCACCACTAGAGCTCGAGCTTGCGTTGCTAGCAGGCGTCGAGTCAGTGTTCACTTTCACCTGGAGCATCTGATCCAGGACCAAACACAGTGCTGTCACCCACACTGGGGTTTCCGAGGAGGTATCATTGTAGGAGGCCAGGATTTCCAAACTGGTGCCGACAAGTCCACTCTTTGCAGCAACCTCCCGGGCAGGAGTATCTTCAGTTAAGACCAGCGCCATCAAGTGAGAGACAGTCGATAGCCGGTTCCAATCAGCACCTTCGGCATGACACCGCTTCAGTTGCTCCACGAGGAAGGATACCACTAAAGGACGGTCCCGGCCGCTGCTGTAATTGCTGATAGTCACCAGTAAGTCCGTGAGGGTGAAGATCACCGCGTCCTTCATCTGCAAGATGTTGACGCACGTGTTCACCATCTTTTCCACGTCTGGCATTTGCAGTACGATTTCTTCTTCCTCCGCAGTCATCTCGGTGGCCTTCCCTGCTTCGCCTTCACCGTCGGCGTTGCCAAGAGAAAGAGCCAATGCCCGAGCGAGCTCATCTTCCTCCTGAGTCACCTCCTCCGGATGAGTGAACAGCCACTCCATCGCCAGCTCCACACTGCTGGCCTCAGAATTTCTTAGTGCTGCTTCCGCTCTAGCACGTGGAAATCCCATCTCCATTATTGTCGAGATCAATGCCTCGTCTGGTGCTGGACCGAGACGAGGATTCGCACCACCCGAAGAGCTTCTGGACTTGGTATCCCCTGCCCCCGCGTAGATTTGTCGGATAATACCAGCGATAGACGTTATAAACGTCGTGTTGCATTCAGCAAAGCTGGGATGGTTCCAGACGGGAAGAATGGCGTTGAGTGCTTGCATCTGCATACTCTGCACGAACTGTTCCACGTCCTTGGGAGCTGCTATCGGTGCGTCTTGAACCGGCTGCACGAGCAAATGTGTTACCGATATCGGACTTAACAAGGTTGTGGACGTAACCAGCTGCTCTATAAGCTTTAAGTAGCTGTGCAAGGTGTTCCACAGCCAAGAATGACTTTCGGACTTCTGATCCGAAGCTTCGGCTTCCTTCCCGTTCTCTGCTTGCATGTTGCCAAACCCGACTGTCCATAACAGCTCGCTAACCTCTTCAAACGTCTCCAACAGATGTGCGAAGGTGCCATAAACGTAAAGCCTGTTCACCAAGACTGTATTGCACGTCTTCCTCCGGCTGTCAAAAAGAACGGCTTGTATATCCTCGGCAACCTTCCCCAAGTATCGGCATCTGACAGTCGGACTTCCCCCGGCTGGCTCAAATGACAAGTTCTCCAGAAACACCTTCGCAATGCCCGAAGCCACAGACTTAGCAGGAACGCTCATCGTCGCAAGATCGTCACGCCGGCGTGAAGGTATCACCATAGACTTGCCCAGAGCCAGATACAAGCTTCGCGCTGCCAAAACAAGCTTCATCACCATCTCGTAGTTCAACACCTCCGGCGACTTTCTCTTCGAGGACTCCTGCACTGGAGGTTGCTCGACAACGGTGTCAACTTCTATGTTTGTCGAAGTTATGCCCTGCCGTGCAAGTCGACCCATTCGTGCAATCTGTGAGAGAGCCTCGGCGGTACTGACAGGCTCACGACGGCTCGAGGATCGGCGGTGAAGGCTGTCTGTTCGAACCGGAGCAAAAAAATCTGCACCTATCCCCCAGTCAGCTGGACCACTACGAACCGCTGTTTGTCTGTCCGTTCCACCAACGGAGAACAAGCTTTCCAGGTCTTCTTCGTTTTCCCTCGCAGAAGAGGAGCTTGCTGCACTGGCCGAAGCTTCATCCACTTCCTTCTTGCTCTCTGTCTTCCCTTCGCTGGCAAGGCAGACTTGCCACAAAACTTCCCGATGCACCCGTCCTATGTCATGCAGTATATCAGCCTCCCCTGTGCTCAATTCGGCCAGCATCACAGGTGAACTTCTCACCAAGACTGCAGACAGCGATAAAAAGCACTCCGTTGCGGACAGGCTCCTTAGAACCTTCATCTTCAGACCTGTCTCCAACTCAAAGATACGGCTACCTGCTATAGACTCGAGAAGTGCCAGAGTAACCTTAAGATCTTCCCGGAGTACTTTGCACACAGACTTCGTCAGCGTCGCTGCGTGTTGAGGAGGGAAGGCCCTGAAGGTAACCGACATGTTGTGTGCCGTAGAAGATCCTCCGAATGAGACAGGCAAATCCGGTAGAGTATAGAGCTGCAGCAATGCCTCAATCCCACCCTTCTCAATAAACAGCTTGCTTGTGTCCGCATTCTGGAGCACTGTCTCTAAAAGCCGAACCGAGTTGTTGATATACTCGGAAAGCGAGCTTTCTGCGGTTGAGCTTGAAGTCTCGGGTGCCGGGTCCTCCGATGGTTGCTTTTCTTCACCACCGTCAGTATCCATAGGCACGGGTGTGTCAACGTCTACCGCACCTCCCATCGCAGCTATCGTTCTCAAAATCTCGATGCAGACGTCTATACCAAGAGCCCGCAGAGCTGGGACGTGACGCATGAGTTCGTCCAGGCTGGAGGCCAAGGATCCCGGTGTGTCGTTGGCCAGAGCTTTCAAGTACATCTTCGACGTAAATATCTTGACAAAACACCGAAGAGCATCACGGTCCTTGACAGCTTCCAGTCCGGCGTTGTTAAGGCAAATCGCGTCGAGGCTAGTTGGAATGCAGCAGATAGCCTCCGATGACGGAAGGACGCCGCTGGTGATGGCATCAAGAAACGCACCAGGGAGTCCTGCCTTGTCCAGCGACGGAAAGCAAGTTGGATCCCTGTGTATCAAGTCGCTCATAACCGATGCCGCAAGCGAAAACACCCCGCCACCAAACAGCTTTGCGTGCTTGAAAATGGTACTCAGACAAAACGGCAGCGAGCTCTCCTCTGAACCATGAAGTCTTGCATTACCACCCGGTGCATAAGTGCCAAGAGATATCGCGCGTAACAGTGCCTTGAGCAGAACCCTGTGATGGTATGGGATGTCGTGCGTTGGACCTGCGTCTTCGCTGATTGGAGCCTTTCCTTTGGACGAGGATGCTTCTTCTTGCCTAGCACCCGAGACATCCTCGAAAGCACTAACTTCGACCTTCAGCCTAAAGATGGTATCATCCAAACCACCTAAGTCCCTGAAGAGCGTGCTCGCTGGATTGCTATAGTCCATAAAAGCCTCTAGAATGTGCACAGCCAGAATCACCAAATGTATGTGTCTCCTGTTGGTATCCTTCAACAGCGGCAGAAGGATAGGAATCAACCCGGCTTCTCGGAGTGCCGCACAACCGGAAGAAGATGAGACCAGTACGGACACGAGCTGAAGAAGAGCTTCTACGAAATTCAGCGAGTAGTGGGGAGTTGTGCTTGCTAGCGACGCTACAGCCTTCTGCACCAGTGTCGGTATGATCCCACAATTCCCACCCGCAGTAAGCACGCTGTAAACGGCAGCCTGACGTGGTCGATCCATCGACATCCCAGCCAAGGCACCCAGAGCCAACATCCGGACATCCTCAGGCACTTCATCTTCGTGATAGAGCAGTGAAACCAGCTCGTTGACAAACTCCGGCTCGTTCACGAAGAATGCAGCAAGGTCCTCGTGGTCGGGATTCGACTGTATCAAAGCTGTGAATGCCGCGAGCCGTATGCGGACATACTGTCTCCGTGTCTCAAGGATGGAGAACGCACGAGCAAACCGAATTCTAGTCAGCAGCGAGAACTTCAGGTTGTCTGGAACCTTGTACTGCTCCACCAACGCCTTCAACACCTGAAGATCACTTCCTGGATACTGATGAAGGTTTTCAATGTGAATAACTTGCAGCCCCGATGCACTCGAGTCGCGGGATTCCCCTTCCTTGTAGAACTCAAAATGTAGGAAAGATCCTAATCTGCAAGCCTCTGCGTCGCACCCACTGCTACTCGTGCAAGCCAACAGGCCGAGTCCCTCCTCCTTTCCACCCCAACCTTGCGACAAGGAAAACAGCTTCCCATTCATGACCGGATCCCTGTGCACCCGAAAAGCTCTTGCAACCTGTGCCGGCCTCTTTACGTAGGATGCGAGTGTTAGAAGCGTATCAAGAACAATGTCTGGATCGGTCGACGCTAGCAGCACAGTCAGGTGCTGCAAAACCGCAATGTTATCACCTCCTCACTCGTACAAAACAAAACTTCCACTCACCTCCAAGGAGTTGTAGAAAGACCTGTTGACGCAGTTGTCTAGTAAACACCGTGTGACCCGAAGAACTTGTAAAACAGCCTCTTTGGGGACGTCACTCTCATCGCTACCCTCTAAATCAAGCTGTAGGTCTTTCCTCGACGTCACAAACTTCTCCAGGAAACTATCAAAATGGTTGATCAAATCCAGCCAGTGGAAAAAATCTCCCTGGTAGAAAGAACCATGGCACTTAGCACAGGTGGAAATGACGAAGAGCATACCTTCTCAAAATCCCAGTAAAAGCTGCTCAAAACAGTGTGTATGCTCTCCAATGGCGTGCTCACTACGTTATTGATGAACGAACGGATTCGCGGTGGCTGGAAAAACGATCGAATTTCAGCTCAATCCGGACACAGAACCCTAAGAACTATAGAGGCATGCAAAGCAGCCGAAGCGCGGGCGAGAATCCAAAAGCTTACCGTCTCCGCGCCTCTCTTCCTCTTCACCTTCATCCTGGAAGCTCGCAAACCCTCGCGAATCCCAGCTTCTTCTAGCTCCCCCGCGACCAGATCGATCGACTTCTAGGGCTCCATGAGCTGCTCCCAGCGCCCCGCCTAGAGCGCCCTGGGCATCAAAACCTAGCCTAAGCGCAGTGGAAGACCTATACGGCGGTCGAAAAAAGCGCACTTGTGCCACTCCCTCTAATCAACCCTCCTGGGGCGGATATTCCCGTGAAATATTCCTTCACGACAACCGGACACGTGGCCAGGATATTCGCTGGCCGGGTAGCGAAGAACCCTAAAATCTCCCGCCCGGATGAATCGCGGGGATTGCCTCCTCCTCATCCAGCGCTGCAACGATCGGGAATCGGCGAGACAGATCCACGCCCGTGTCGATCAGTACCACCGCGCCGGCGATGGATTCGTGTGTAACAAGCTCATCGACATGTACGCGCGGTGTGGGAGCGCGGCCGACGCCCGGGCGGTGTTTGATTCGATGAGCAGCGGCACCAGGGATGGATTCTCGTGGGTAAGCATGCTGTGCGCCTACTCCAGGAGCCGCCAGATCACCAGGGCGAGGGCATTCTTCGACGAGGAGATCCCTCCCTGGGCCAAGAACATGGCGGCATGGAATGCGATGCTGGCCGCGTATTGCCAGGCCGGGGATCTGGAAGAATCGTGGCGCTTCTTCACGGCGGCGCCTGGCTGGAACCAGATCTCCTTCAATGCGCTCCTCTCGGCGCATGGGCACGATCACATCCGCGAGAGCAAGCAGCTCTTCGACACGGGGACGCCAAGCTGGGATCTCGTCTCCTGGAACACGATGCTGGCGGCGCTGGCACAGGCCGGGGATCTAGAAACTCTCCAGCGGCTCTTCGACGCGATGCCCGAGTGGGATCTAATCTCCCACAACGCGATGCTCCTGGGGCTCACGCAGCACGGCAAGCTCAACGACGCTCGACGCTTCCTGGACGCGATGCCGCAGAGAAATCTCGTCTCCTTCACGACACTACTGCGAGCTTACAGCAGCTCCCAGTGGCAATCGCAGTCTCAGCAGGAAGAACAGGCGATGGACGTGGAGCTCTTGCTCGGGCGAATGCCCGAACACAATTTGGTCTCCTCCACAGCCATGATCGGGGTGTATGCCCGAGTCGGCGACTGCGCTAGCGCTGAGAAGATCTTCCACTCGATGCACCAGCACGACACAGTAGCCTTGAACGCGATGCTTTCAGCGTATGCCCAGACCGGGCATATCGATCGAGCCAACGCCATCTTCGACTCTATGCCGCAGCACGACATGGTGTCATGGAACTCTCTCCTCTCGGCCTACACGCACAACGCCAGCGATCTCTCCAAGGCCAGGGCGCTGTTCCAACGAATGCCGGAGAGGAACCTCGTCTCCTGGAACGCGCTCCTCACTGTGAGCTCCCAGCACGGCTCTCTCGACGAGACCAAGAGAGCTTTCGACTCGATGCTGGCCTGGGACTCCATCTCCTCCAACGCGATGCTGCTGGCCTATGTCCGGAGCGGCCACACCGACGAGGCCGCCACCTTCTTCCGGAGCCTGCCTTGCCGCGACCTCGTCTCCTCCACGAACGTCCTCGCCGCGTATGCCGAGAACGGGGAGCTCGACAAGACGAAGCGGCTCTTCGAGGAGATGCCCGAGTGGGACTCGGTGTGCTTGACGGCCATGCTCGTCGCGTACGCGCACAAGGGGTACCTCGAGCACGCCAGGCAGCTGCTGGATGGATTTCTGCGAGACGACGTTGTGGCTTCGGTGGCGATGCTCGTCGCTTACGCCCAGCACCGGCACTTGGAGCACTCGAAGCAAGTGTTTGGTTCGCTGCTCGTCCGGAACTTGGTCAGCTGGAACGCGATGCTCGCCGGGTATGTCATCAACGGGGAGATGTCTCGGGCGATTCACTTCTTGGGCTCCATGCCCGAGTCGGACATCATCTCCTGGACGACGCTCCTCGCGGCCTACGCTCACAGCGGCCAGTTCTACGAGGCGGTCCTTCTCTTTGACACGATCAAGATGGTGGAGCTCCCGGACGAGTCGTGCTTCGTCTCGGTGCTGGTTGCGTGTAGCCACGCGGGAGAGGTGGCTGCTGGAGTCGCGAGCTTCGTTTCGATGAGCAGCGACTTTGCGATCCAGCCGAGCAAGCACCACTTTTGCTGCATGGTCGATCTTCTGGCGAGATCGGGTCACTTGGTCGAAGCCCAAGATCTGATCGCCAGCATGCCTTTCACGACGAGTGCCGAGGAATCCAAGCGACTTCTAGGATCATGTACAAGTTCTTTGAATATGAATGATATTAGAAGTAAAGTCTCCATGGCCAGCAGCTCTAGCGTCTCCACTCCAGTCATGGATCCAGCTTTCTACGTGCTTCTCTCAAACATGTTGTCATCTACATAGGCGATGGATGAGCGAAAAATTCTCATTGTTCTTGGCCAAACTTTTTGGAGTCCCTCCAAAGCTAAACCCTTTCAGCCGCTCGAGCCCACAGATCACTGACGCATCGGTAGTGTTGCTCGCCTGGAATCAAGCCATAGTCCCTCTCCATGGAGTCCAGCACGCGCATCCCCATTCCAACCCTGCCCCAATGGCTGCATGCTACCAGCGCCGAGGTAAAGCAAGCGCGATCCGGCGATTCCACGAGCTTGGCCTCGTTGAAGATCTCCACTGCGCGATCGAAGGCCGCATTGCGAGTGTAAGAGTCCATCATCGCGGTGAGAGCCACCAGATCCTTCTCCGGCATGGCCACGAACACGCCCAGGGCGCGCTCCAAGAGGCCTAGCTGTGCGTAGCCGTAGACGAGCAGCGTCCACGAGTATGGATTCTTCTCCGGCATCGCATCGAACAGGCGCTTGGATTCGTGGATCCTGCCCTCGCGGATGTAGGCGCCGAGCATCGTGTTCCAGGAGACCAGATCCAGGACTGGAATCCGATTCCACAGCCGCTCCACAGCCTCGTCGAGATTATTGCCGCAGTAGGCCGCCAGGATGGCGTTCCAGGCGGCTAAGCTGTGATCCGGCATGAGATCAAACACGACCTTGGCTTCTTCCATTCGAGCCGATTGAGCGTGCAAGGAAAGAAGCGCGGTGGAGGAGATTTCGTCGTGGACGGGCAAAGATTCACACAATGCCGCCACAGCCGCTGCCTGGGATTCACTACCGATCATCTGCGAGAAGAGATTGAGCATCATCGTGGCGGAGACGAGATCCCACTGCGACATCGCCTCATCAAAGAATTGCTGCGCCTCGGCGTAGCTCCCGCCCTGGACGAGCGCCAGCAGCATCGAATTCCAGGAGATGAGATCCAGCTCCGGCATTCCCTGGAAAACCCACGTCGCCTCTTCCAGCCGCCCCTTCTTGGCGTATCCCGCCAACATCGCATTCAAACAAGCCCTATCGCGCAGCTCCATCGCCAACAAAATGTCCCGCGCATCTTCCAAACGCCCGTGATCGGCATATTCTGCTAGCATCGCGGTCGAGGACACAAGATCCCACGCCGGCATGCGTTGGAAGACGGAAAAAGCGGCCTCTGCATGGCCGCCACGTATGCACGCCGTTAAAAGGCTTGTCCACGTCACGACGTCCCACAGTGGCATCGCGTGGAACACTCGCAAAGCTTCTTCCAAATGCCCCAATTGGGCAAATGCTTCCACGAGAGAATTTGAAGCGACGAGATCTTTGTGTGGCATTTGCATAAAGATTTCCACTGCTAGCTCGATTTTCGCGCTGCGAGCGTAGGCATTGAGCATGATCGTGTAGGAGATCGCGTCGCGCAGTGGCATTCGATCGAAGACGCTCTTCACGCCATCCAGATTCTTCCTCCGGGCATTCGCAGCAAGCAGTGAGTTCCACTGCGACAATCCCATATCGCTCGCGCAAAACCGAAGCGATTCAATTCACAAAACTGGTATCAGTAGACAAAATTTCCTCGAAGGAATGGAGAGAAGAATCTATACTTCCTATCGGTGCCTCCTCGAGGGATCGTCTTCCTCGCCTCCGCCTCTCAAATCCTTCCCATTCTCACCCTGATCCACGCTGCCATCACCGCCACTGGAACCATCAGCATTGCCAGCGATCTCTGCCTCTCGATCCAGCACGGCGTCGAGAATTCCAGCCAAAATTTCGCCAGTAACACCCTCCGGATCCTCCAAATCCCCCGGCAATGGACTCGGTCTTGCAAAGAAATGCGGCTCCTCGTCGCCAGGCATCAACACCAAGAAAGCTCCATCGTAGTTCTCGCTACCCTCGTCCTCTCCGGCGGCGGCATCCATAGCCGCAAGAGCTGCGGCCGATTCCACGTCCAATCCCACCCTGGCCGGCCTCCGGTACTTGTAATACGAGTAGAAGAGCAGCAGCAACGCGATCGCGATGAGGAAGAGCATGACGCACAGGCCGGCGATGACGATCACCATCGTTGGAGCTGGCTCCTGGCATCCCACCGATCCGTCGGGGCACAGATTCTGCGATGGCGGCAGGGTTCCTCGATCGAGCTTGGCACCTGCGCGAAATATTTCGTGAGGAAAGATTGAAAAGCACGCCATCACGGACCGAAATTTGGAGCAGCAGCGCCTCCCCCGCCCATCTCCTCCCGGTTCTTGCTCGTCCAAGCGCTCAAGAAGATCGCATCTCTCCATCCTGCTGTGGCAGCCGCGGCTCCCCTGCAGCTCAAAGTCTTGGATCCGCGCAAGATGATCGAAAACCCTCACTACTTCTCGAGCTCGCAGAGGCGATCATCGCTATCCCCGGCGACGCCTTAGGCGGCAAGAAAGAACTTATGAAGGATCGCGTCTTTTGAGCTGACCTAGGCTAGCTACATTCTTTTGAGCAGGCCAGGTCGGTGGTTCGATACTCCTTCCTTTCTCTTCCTGGTTATTAGGGCGAGCGATGGCGCCCCTGAGCTAGAGGTGAGCAGCGGTGCCGACGAGCGATCGATGGAGGCGCTGTCCAGCTTCAAGCCGATCTGCAATCGAGCGCAGGGCCAGATCGATCCCTTGCTTGCCGCGCATTGCAGCAGCACCGCATTCTTGTTCTCCATCAATCCTTCCCGCTACGAGGATTTGCACGTCGTGGTGTCCGACTTCCATTCCAACACCTGGCGCGCGAGCTTCGACTACGACTACCTCGAAAATCTGGTGAGCATTGTGTCTGTGCTCAACGATTTCTGGCTATAGCTTGAGTGGTTCTACTGCAGAGAAATGAGCTGGGAATACGCGATAGCTTCCCTGTCTATATGCAAAATCTACACGATGGCTTTTCATCCAACCAAGTGAAGTTTGAGCTCAGCGCGGCAGCACCTAGTCGTGAGTTTCTTCTTTATGCTTGCTTAGTTTTTCTGGTGTTCTTCTCGAACACTTCCCTCACTTTTCAAATGCTCCCATCCCAGGTGCTGCTGCATCGGGACGACTGAAAACCAGGATCTCCTTGAGAGAAATCTCGCTGGAGCTGGAGCTTTCAGAAGGGAGATGTGCCAGCGACAACATGAGCACACTGATTTGGGAGTTTTTCGAGACCCTTTCAGCAGGTTGGTTCTTAGAGACGGCGTGTTGCTTCTTGTTTGTCATGCCTTAGTTCATCGCTGATGTAGCCTTTTTGATTTGAAGCTTCTTCTCGCAGCCCAGAGCCGAGTGTTCCATTTGGAAGCTGCTCTAGCGGAAGGGAAGGTACACGGAGCAAGCTCGCTCTTATAACTGCTAATGTTTTTCATCTCACAGATCAAAACTTTGAAAGTTTTGGATACTGTGGAGTGCATTAGAGCGAAACAGAGGGCTATGGCTATAAACGTCAGTCCTTTGAACCCGTCGCGGAAGCAGCCCAAACCTGTATTGCAAGCGGCACCCTCGACTGTGAAGGTATTTAGTATTTGTCTTCCTTCTCCAAACAGCTTGTTCTTCTAGTTTCCCAGTAATTCATCCGACGGGAGCTTTTACCTTGGAGAAGCTCCTTGCAGCCCGGACTTGAAGCTTGAAGAAACGTACTGTGCCGGTACGTATCCCAACTCTGGCACTATGCTTCTGCTTACGTTGAAAATGCAGGCGGTGATGAGATGAGCGCTTCTGCTGCGAATGGTATTCATGACCAACTATTTGAGGCAATGCCAAATAATCAAGGTCTACTTCCGTCCCTGGATATGCAGCCGCATATTAATGCCGACGCTGATCGAGAAGAGAAGAATCGAAGCCTATGTAGTGATCTGTGGGCGAAGTATGCGAAGATTTTCTTGCAGCTTGGTTTACATGCTAATGTTTTTCTTTCTACTGTCATTTTCCAGGCGGCATTTCTTAGAATGGAGGAAAGAGCAGGGACTGCCATCTTCTAATCTCGAGGATCTACCTCTGCCAGAACTTGCTGATTGTCTTACGAAGTTCTTTCGCATGGTAAAGAAGCGGAACGGAAGCCTTTTTCCTTCGGAAAGGTACAGGTCTATCTTTCCTGTTTTTTTTTTTTTTTTTTTTTTCTGATTACCCACTCAATCTCGTTTTTCTGTTTCTAGTTTGCGTGCCATGTTCCGGGCATTTTGCCGCATTCTCAGATCTCACTACAGAAAACTACAGCTACAGGGACGATATGATGGTCCTGGGGTCGACTTGAGCAGAGACTCACTCTTTGAAAGAGCGAGGCTTGCATGTCTCGAAGCTATGAAGTATAGCAAATCACACGGAGGAAATGTGAAACGAAGGAAGAATCCTGACGAATGGATTCCTGCTCCGGAGGAGGACATTCTTTGCCATCCTGCAAACCAAGTGACGGACCCGTATGGTTTGCTGAAGAGGCTTTGCTTCTACGTCATACGCAAGTTTCATGTCCATGGACATATGGAACTCTACTATACGACGGACGTAGAGTTCAAACGATTTGGGAACGGGGACGGCACTGCGACCTGGGAGTAAGTTCTCGCTCGTTTTATTCTTTCATCTTTCTGGTTATAATGGCTTGAAAATGTTTGCTTTCAGATACGATGAGAAAAGAGCTGCAAATCACAAGCGAAAATCCTCGTTTAGAGAGCCTGTGTCGTGCTCCGAGAGTGACGTCGTGCTATGTCTGGACAAGTACTTCTTCCACGCGCCTCCAAAAGCGTCCGCGAGTGAACCGAGGCAACTCTTTCTAGCTCCGATCGGAAAGCCCGAATCGAACGTAAGTCGTGCATATATCTTTTCCTCGCTGATACCTTTCTTCTCTTCACAGGTCTGGTACCGGAACCAAATCATGAATCTCAAAACTTTGCGTGGATGGTATAGATACATGGGCCCAATGCCCGGTCGAGCCGATTCCGATCCACACCTGAGGTAATCTCCGCTTTTACATCATCTCTGTACCTGACTCGATCATCAGCAGCAGCATGTCACAAATGGACGTACTTTACCACGACAGTGATCCGGATCACAACTTGGACGCTGCCGTGAGCTCGGCTACGTACCTCACGACTCCCAGAGAGTTCCAAGACTCCGGGAGCTTCGAAAGAAATGGCAGTGGCGGCGTCGTTCCAATGGGGCTGGGATTGGGCTGTGGCGGGGACGAAGAACACTACGATGGTTTCGACGCAAGCATCAACGACGATCTCTCGGACAACGAGCGCTACTAGAAAGAGGTTTTTGCTTTCCATTATTTTCTATCCATCTCTTCGATCGAGAAGCTTTCTTACTGGGCAAATCTCTTCTTCACGTCCTCGAAGCGGACTTTGGTGAAATCCAACAGTTCTTGCTGGTCGGGAAAAGCGGGCTTGGCCTCTGGAGAGTCTTTAACCGCGGCGATCCAGCGGTGGAGGAGGGGACAAGTGTCGGGGCCGGGCACGCGGAGCCGTCCGATCTCCGTGTACGTCGGGATCCACCATGGAAGAAAGGAGGCGGCGATGTCCACGAAGCCCATGCTCGTGTTGCTTCCACTGAAGAACACGCCTCCCTGGCTCTCAAGAAATCGCTCCAGCGCTACCATGTCTTGGATCATCTCATCGTTTGCGCGCTCCTTCTCCTCGCCGCTCGAGATCGCGGCCTTGAACGATGCCGCCGTTAAGCTCAGGAACTGGATCATCGAGAGAAAAAACCCCAAAATCAAAGAAATCTATCGATCCAATCGATGGAGTACCTTCTTGTCGACGAAATCCGCCCAGAAGCGAGCAGTGGCCCGCGCGAATGCGTCATCGCGCGGCAGGAGGAATCCGGTGCCGCGATCCGGCCACACCTCGTCCACATACTCGACGATGTTCATGGATTCGCAGATCGCCTTGCCATTGTGGATGAGCACGGGGATTTTCTTGTGCACCGGATTGGATTCCAGCAGCAGCGCGCTCTTGGCATTGAAGAGATCCTCCTCCTGGAGATCGTAGCGCAGGCCCTTGAGATCGAGCGCCAGCCTCGCCCGGCACGCGTAGGGGCTCGACCAAAAGCTCAAGAGCTTCAATCCCTCCTCCCCCATTCTTCTTTCTCCTTTCTTCTACTTCTACTTCTAATCGCTCAAGTAGCCATGGAAAGCATATTCGAGGAATCTAAACAGAGGAACCCTAACCCCAGGTTAATTTATTGAATGCGGGAATTATGCGATTGGCTGGATTCCGGATTGGGCGTAGAAGCTTTTGTGGCCGCAAGGCTGCGTCCAGTGTTTGTGGAAAGCACCCTAGAAAGAAAGAAAGAAAGGGAGTAGAAGCAACACGATGGCGCTCCGGTCTATGGCGGCGCAAGCTGCCACGATTCTGAGAATTCGATGCCAGCCTCACCTGGCGCAGGCCTTGGCGATTCCACTGGCGCGAGGATTTGCAAGTAAGTCCTGGGATTTTCATCGCAATGTGCATGGATCTAGCACGCAAATTCAACGTGATTCTTACCCTCTTTCGTTTTCTCTTCCAGCCGAAGCCGCAGCTACCGTTCCAATCCCCCAAGACTTGAAATTTCTGGAATCGCACGAATGGGTCAAGGTGGAGAGTGGGACTGGAACTGTGGGTATCAGCGACCATGCCCAGGTAAAACGAGCTTGAAATTTTTCTCTTTTTATTTTCTATCTCTCGTGATTGTTGTGTGTATGTAGCATGAATTGGGTGATGTGGTGTTTGCGGATTTGCCAGAAATTGGGTCTTCTGTGACGAAAGGGAAGAACTTTGGTGTGGTGGAGAGCGTCAAGGCTTGCAGCGATATCTACAGCCCAGTGTCTGGCGAAGTGATTGAAGTGAACGAAGAAGTCAAGCAAACTCCAGCGCTCGTAAGTGACACCAGGAGCAAATTTTCTTTCTTGAATCACTCCCGAATTGCCTTCTTGCTTCCAGGTGAACAAGAATGCGTTTGGCGAGGGATGGCTGATCAAAGTGAAGATGTCCAACGTCTCCGATCTCGACGGCCTAATGGACCCAGCTGCGTACGAAGAACACGTAAAGAGTGGAGGGCACTAGCCTAGCTAGCCATAAAATCAAAGAGAAAGAGAGAGAGGGAGAGAGAGAGAGGGCCAAGTTCTTTCAAGCTCAAATGCTCTCATCATCTCTGGGGTTGAGATCAATTTCATGTTTAGACTTTGAGATCGGATAGGCTGGGAGGTATCACTGGTTGACATGAATCTGATCTTATGAGCTAGAAAGTGAGAGTGATATGCATCTCCACAAAGACCTGCATCACAATCCTTGCCTGTAGCAGTGCCACGAATGAAAAGTTTTCTCCATCTGCAAAAAGAAAACAAAGTTGGCAAGAGTTTACAACAATGCGCACACCTCTCGGAGTGGAGAAGCAATTGTAGGTATTCATTGAGTTTTACTTACCTACAAGGCTTAGTCTTCAGATTCTCTTACTAGGTGATTGTCATAGAGGGCACGGATGCAATCACTCTAAAAGTCTTGTGATGCTTGCTTCTAAAGTCGCGGAAATGAGAGCGGAAACGAGAGTTGGTGTGGATGAGGTGATCAGGAAAAGATGATGTGGATGTGAGAGAAGTATTTTCTTCCTTTTTAAGTTTCTCCAAACATGATTAAATTCCGTTTAAATTCCTTCAGACTTGATGTACTTCCAGCATAATAAAAGAAGAAGAAGAAAATAAGCAGCTCACATCCATTCACGATAAAACCATAATACGTTGTCGTCGCTTGCAGCTTACATCGATGGTGGATGATCGCAAGAGGAGCCTGAAGCTCTTGACACCGGCCTCCTGTGGAGTACAAAACCAGCTCTTGACCGCTAGCAGCACATTGTTCGCAGAATCCCCGAGAACACCAGGCCTGGGAGCCTACTCGTTTCCCTCTCCAGCATCACCTTGTGATGCAAATGGAAAGGCTCAGCAAGGCCTTGTTCCAACGAGGAAGCATGCTCCTCGCGACAAGCACAGCAGCCTGTGATGTCGGAACTATATCCTGCCCCAGAGCTGGGGTAGGATTGACTCTCCAGCTCACTTGGCTGGAATTGTATACTGCTTGAAGCGCCCGTGCGCCTTAGCTCCCTTCCAAATGCGCCATAGCCCAGATTTTAGAGCACTGAATCTTCGTTGTATGCCAAGGGTGGACCGCCAAGGCGCGGGTAGAATGGAGGAGGCCCGCTTCACCTTCCACCGGGACGTGGTCATGATAATCTCCAGTCATGCCCAATTCCATCCCACGCTCAGATGCCGTGTCGTGGACAATCCTGTCCAGGGCATATTCCCTGTCTGGGCATCTTGAGGGTGCGACAGAGGTGTTAGAAAAGATGCCGTGTCACGATTCCGGAGCTTGCACGGGCATCATTGGCGCATTCTTGCACTACAGCCTATACGGCAAAGCCCATGGCATCTTATCACGCTGTTTTAGTGGCGGCATGCTCGGGTTATTCCAGGGCAGTGTTTTGCGATGTGGAATCCTTTTGTGTTGCAGCCTTCATAATCTGGAATGGTGTCTATTCGTTCTTTTCCCGTACTTTTCCTGAGTTTTTTTTCCAGCATTACAAAAGATCCTATGCTTGTTTTCCAGGTTCATGCTAGCTGGACTTACGGGAATCATAGCCATTCTCTTTTGTGGTATTGTAAGTTTGTGGTCTTTTGGTTTCCTCTAATGCCTTCTAGCAGCTCATGAAGCATTATGCGTTTCAAAACCTGTCTGAACCGGTTCAAGCTTTTACGCGATTGACAGAAACAATTTTGTGAGTCTTTATATTTTTCCGAGTCTTACCCTTAATTTCAGGTTCATCTACACGGTGATTCATCTTTTTCTCTATTGTATCCTTTCTCATTTTATTATTTATTCTTGGACGTGTTCCTTGACTGAGAGGGCACCTGCAAGTGTTTATCCTGGCAGCAAGGTATTGCTCGTGGAAGTTTTTACATTGCTAATGCTATTGTTTTATCAGAGCAGCTAACTTGCGCATGTTTGATCAACTTGATTCGGCCAGTTGCAAGGAAAATACCTCTCAAGCATCAAAAGGCCCTTTGGTTTAGCGGTACGGAGCTGTTAAGCACGGCGATTGTGATCTTAACTGATGGTTTTTATTGATAGGCTTGCAAGGAGCCATGGCGTTCGGGTTGGCTTTGCAGAGCAAGCGTGATTTACCAACAAAATCTAATGGTGAGACGATATTCACCACTACAACAGCTATTGTCGTTGTCAAGGTATGTCTATTTTGCGTTTTCCTACGTTCAGCAATCTTCGTATGGAGGCTCACATCAACAATGCTGGAAAAGCTCGAAGTCGTTGGGGATTATTATGCGGCTCTAAATGTAGAGGTGAGCTCCCTTTCACTATTTAGATTGGAATAAAGGGCCTCTTTTTGCGCAGGTTGGAAACGACAATAATTTGGAGCTTCATAGCCCGACAAGCTCAAGATATCAAATATAAGGAAAGACTGTTACTTCCCTATAGTTAGTGCTGACCATTTTCTTTCACAGCTCGTATTTCACAGCCTTCGACAAAAACTTCCTCAAGCCAAAGCCACGTTGACGATGAGGACTTTGGTCTTTTTGATGCTGGTAAGTCACAATCTCTGCTATCCCTAAGAAAAATTTACTCTTGTGGACAGTGGATCAGAATGACTCTTCCGACAATCACGCGGTAGAAATCCAGAGATCTCTCATACGACGAACAGAGAACGAGGATTGTCATTCAGAGAACGGTAGAAGCACAAAAGCCATAAAAGACACTGGACGATTTAGAAGCTTTTAAAGAACGTGTAATACGTGAAAGTTTGATGGAAAGAAGGATTTTGACGGAGATTGGAGGGGTTTCTTTGATAAATACAAATTTGAAGCTGGCGCACGCCTTGTTCATGCTTTCCTTTATCTTACCGAGAGTATGCAAGCCGTTTAGTTTCGTCCAGGCTCTCATCCCATGGGATCGTCTGACGTGTGGCGCATCGGTTTCCAATCCATTGGCACCTAGGTGAACATAAACTTGTAGAACAAATTGGCTTATAGAGAACATAATTCTGCCAGCATTTTCCTTGCTTTTTCTTTCTTTATTCTCGTTAAAAAGCCATAGAAGAAGAAGTAACAGCCGTGCCTTGCAAAGAGCTTCAACTCTCGGCTCTACTGAGAAACGAGTGCAAAATGACGCCATCAGGGAAATCTCCCATCTCCCTGTTCTTTCTCTGTTTCGACATAAAATAGCAAGAGTTTCTTGAGAAGATGTTGCCAAATGCCCAGACACAGCACATAGACACCAGCTGATGAAGCTCAAGTTGCTGCTTTAAGACTTAGAAAAGTCTTTGAAGTTAAGAGTGCACATATCTCTCACTCTCAATATGAAGTGCTTCTGTATTTCACCAGGTTTGGATCACGTCTTATGGTGTACTGACTGCAATTGCTGTGAGTTTTTCATTTCACATCACTCCTACTTTATAGCTTTAACTTTGTATTAACTTGAAATATAAAGGTTCATTACAATTAAGTATTAGGGCTTCTATCAGCTATGAAAAGGCCATGGGACTAGGAGTTTTGCGACGTTTGACATTACCACTAAAGAGAAGAACAAAAAAGTGAAGTTGTTAAACCATTGCCACCAGCTTTGGAGAAGAAATCCACATTTGTGTTAGACATGGATAAGACATTAATCCATGCCCACAACGCCACAACATCCTATAAGATCTTTAATGGGAAAATTATTCCACTGTAGTGTTACCTTATGGCAAAGAGGCTAGGCATGGATGATTTTCTAAAAGAGATGAATAAAATATATGAGATCATGGTTTTTACTTGGGTAATGAAGCCATATGTGGATAAGATTTTGGATAAGCTTGACTTGGCTAAGAATCTTTTTGTCTATCGTCTGTACAGAGATTTATATTCATCCAAAGAAGTTGAAGGGAAAAAAAATTGTGAAATATCTCTCAAGATCAGGGTGGGACTTCAAACATATAATGATTGTGGACAATAAGCTAGAGTCCTTTTGCTTGTAGCCAAATAATAGAATTCTCATCCATGCATTCAAAAACAGAAAAAAAGCATAAGTATTATGAATTGAAGATGACAGGCATTGTTTTCCTCACGAAAACAATGTCCAATAATCATAATTAAAAAAGCATAACTTGGAAGGAAAATGGCTGATATGTTTTGATCGATCCATCGAATTGCTGATGATTTGTTTTGGCTTGGCAGGAACAGCAGCAAGTGGGATATCAAGGAGCTGCCGCTACACCAGAGGCTCGCCATGGTAAAGCTTTGTCCTCAAGACAGCAATGAAAGTTCTTGAGTCTGGTGCCAAGCTTTCCTCCTGCAGCATGTGAGAGGAAACCTCCAAGGCCGCTATCCTCTTTGTTTTCCACGAATGCCAGAACCAAAGCAGTCCACAGCACCACGTCGCATCTTCTCAAAGACCCGAGTAGCGTCCACCATGCTCCTGCACTTCGTGTACAAGTTGATGAGGATGCTCCCAACAAATAGGTTCGCAGGGACCTTTCCTCCAAGTAGTTTGTGAAGTGCCATGCCTCTTTCCAAATTGACCACCTTGATAAGTTTTCCCTGCAGAAGTTCTGCACTTTCTCTAGCTGCCAGACTCGTGCAGGCAATGGCTGCCACGAGGAATGTCCGAGCATCCAGCTCACCACCTCTAGTGCGTTGCATCAGAGAAAAGAGCTCGAGAGCCACTTCGCCTTGATTGCTCTCCGGTTCATAACGTTCCAAGATGACACACTGCGGTCTTGGATTCTGTCAAAAGCCTGTGGAGCATCTTCCAGAGATCCACAGTTGACGTAAAAGTCGAGTAGCATGCTTGCCAGAAACCGGTTAGACTCGAGGCAGAGAGCCCACTTTCACCATTTATCCAGCCACCTCTCTGTCGTCTTCTCCCGCTGCCAAGACGGCGCAGGCACCAAGAACAGCCAAAGCCTTGATCCGGCATGGTGGGGAAAACTTCCAGTGCCACGCACTCGTTAAAGCCACTCAAAAGAGAAAATGGGCTTGATCGATCTTGGTAACCCGGTAACGAGACGCTCCACTCCCACAAGCCTGGGAGCCTACTCGTTAGCGTCACCTTGCCCCGTGATCCAAATGGAAAGGCTCAGTAATTCTCCAGCATACCAAGGGTGGCGCGGATCTATATCCTACCCCAGAGCTGGGGTAGGATAGACTCTCCAGGGCTCGGCCGTGTCCCCGTACTGCTTGAAGCGCGCTCCCTTCCAAATGCGCCATAGCCCCGATTTTGAGTCTCCGTTGTATGCCAAGGATCGCGATACCGTGGACCGCCAGGATCCAGGCACTGATTCAAGCGGGGAGAATGGAGGAGGCCCGCTTCACCTTCCACCGAATGCCCAGCTGGGACGTGGTGACGTGGAACATGATAATCTCCAGTCATGCCCAGACTGGGGATGTGGCAGCGGCGAAGCGACTGTTCGATTCCATGCCCGAGCGTAGCTTTGTTTCGTGGAACACCATGGCCGCCGCGTACGTGCGCAATAGCGATCCCCACAGCACGAAAGGAACCTTCGATCGGATGCCTCTGTGGAACATGGTGGCCTGGAACACGCTTATCACCGCATATGCCCAGGTAGGGCATTTCCAAACATGTTTACAGATCTTCTACTCTATGCCCCATTGGGATGTTTTCTCTTGTAATTACGTCATCACCGCTCTATCAAATCTTGAGAACCTTAGTGCCGCGATATCGCTCTTTGATTCCATGCCCCTCAGGAACGTATACACGTGGAATCTTATGCTTGCGGCATATGCCCAGAGGAGGCAAATTGTTTGTGCGTGTCTTTTCTTCTCGAAGATGCCAGAGCCCAATGTGGTGTCGTGGAACGAGATACTTGGAATGTACACCGAGTCCCAAAAGCTTACAGAGGCACGCATGGTGTTCGATTCCATTCCACGCCCAGATGCCGTGTCGTGGACAATCCTGTCCAGGGCATATTCCCTGTCCGGGCATCTTGAGGGCGCGACAGAGGTGTTTGCAAAGATGCCGCGTCACGATTCCGGAGCTTGCACGGGCATCATTGGCGCATTCTTGCAGTACGGCATATACGGCAAAGCCCATGGCATCTTCTCCGAGATGCCACACCGCAGCATCACGTCCTGGAATGCCGTTTTAGTGGCGGCATGCTCGGGTTATGGAGATTCCAGGGCAGTTTTTACCAGGATGCCAATGTGGAATCTGTCAAGCAAGACCGCAATGCTCCAGGCGCTTGCCCAGAGCGGCTGCTTGGACGAGGCCGAGAAGATTTTCCATTCCATGGCTTCTTCCACTGTGAATGTGGATATGGTGTGCTGGACTTCAATGATAATCGCCTATTCCATCCATGGTTCCATTGATAGAGCGAGAGACATCTTCGATCTAATGCCAAGGCGCGATTGCGTGTGCTGGAACGCAATGGTTGGAGCATATGCCCAAAACGGGCATCTCGCACTCGCTCAAGAAGCCCTGGAGAAGATGCCCGAGAGGGAGGCAATGTCGTGGACGGCGACGATTGCCGCACACGCGCAGAGGGGCTACGTGGCAGAATCTTGTCGGCTGTTCGATCTGGCTGTCCAGAAGGGAGGTGGAGACGATGCAGTGCTGTGGACGGCCCTGATTGCGTCCTACGCTCTCAACGGCTGTGCCAGGGCGACCGTCGATACGCTCAGGGCAATGCTCCACCACGGCATCCCAGCCGACCACGTGGTCTTCAACAGCCTTCTCTTTAGCTGTGGCCATAGCGGGCTGGTAGCATTGGCGCGGGAGAGCTTTGTGTCCATGAGACACGATCACTCGCTGGAGCCAGGGCTCGATCACTACACGCGAATGCTGGGGATTCTTGCGCGTGCTGGGCAAATCGAAGAAGCACTAGATCTCCTCCAAGCAATGCCCTACCGCCCAAACGATGTAACGTGGACTACATTCTTGAGCGCGTGTGGGGCGGGTCAGTTGGATCCAGCGAGCTCCATTCACTATGTGTTGCTTACCAATAGCATTGCGCCCTAAATGATATGAAACCTGTGGACGATGAACTCACTTATGGTGGTATGTGATTGATTTCAAGGTTGTCAAATTTTGTGTAGATCAAAGTAAGAAGGAAGGCAAGCATTATACCTCATCGTTAGTTTTCGTGAAGTATGGTCCAAGATATAAGAATCAAGCACTTTTGACTCGAACTAAACACAAGCTGTGTCGTTTCTATATATTTCATATCTAAAAACTATATATTTCATTTTATGTCACAGCAACTGGAGTGCAGATGATTGTGTGCCATCAAATAGAAATTTATTTAACATAGGAGTGCAATATACACATACATACATATATACATACATATATATATGTATGTATATCAGTATATATACATATATACATATACATACATACATACATACATACATACATACATACATATATACATACATATATATATACATACATATATACATATATATATATACATATATACATATATATATATATACATATATATATATATATACATATATATATATATATATAGATATACATATACATACATATATATATATACATATATGTATAGCTTGTCAATGATTGGCTGGGCACCCATATGGCACAACTATATAACAATGTGGTGTTGACCTTGGCCTAATAGTGCTCCTTTTGCACATCCCATCAGTAGATGGTTGCTTGGTGGGAATATGTTTGCTCAACTACTAACTGAGGTACTTGTAAAAAGTAACCTATCCTTGATAGTGGAGTGGTGTGTGAGTAGGTTTAGTTTTCAGATTTTCTTACTAAATGATTATCATAGAGGTGACAATAAGAAATCCACTCTAGAAGTTTCATATCCCATGACTTTCAAGTTTAATGGAGCAAATCTTAAAGCCATGTTGACTTAAATGCTCCATGCTTAGTCCCACTTTAAACACTCAAAGGTACAATTGTTCTTACACTAAGGCCATATCCATTTTTATATCTCATTAGTTGTCTAAAACCACCTCTACAATGGTTTTGCCTCTCTAAGATTGGGCTATTTATCCAAATCTCAATATCACAAAGGTTCTTGATATTAGCAAGTGCAAGCTAATGACACAAGTTTCTCAAATCGGGCCAAGTATGCTCAGCAAGAAACACATAAAGTTCCTACCTTATGTTTATTCGATTTAAGACTCAACTAACTCAAGTGGAGATTAATAAAGAGTCCAGTAATACCAACCTCTTACTATCGTGGTAGTAAGGAAAGAATATTTGAAAGGATTACCTGACAGGTAACTTTCAATACTTGAAGTCACATTTATGACATAGTGTTAATTGGTAGGGATTGAAGAAAAGATATTAGGGGATGGTGTTCCACTATATATCATAGAGCATCCTAAGTATTCTAAGGTGTAATTATAGGATGACCACTAGTCTTTCAATATTTACTAGATGATAGCTTACCATGTCTGCCAAACACCCTTGCTATTATGCCTTGTTGTAAGCGACTAAATTTTCCATTCTACTTTAGTCACTTAACCACACATTCGACCACTTAAAGGAGTCTCACTCACAACCTCTGTAAGTCCTATTCTAGATTTAGGGACTTGCTAGCCCCAAGAATGGCATCCATGCCATTCAACCATTGCACTTGGTCCAAGTGCTCCATGTGTCCGATCCCATAACCGACACCCCAAGGTACCATCGACATACCAGCCCGTTACGCTAAGGCTATGCTCATTCACCTTGGTCACATCGGTGGTTTAACACCATCTGCATCGCAGTCCTATCTCTCAAGGATTGGGCCATCCATCCATGAGTGACCATCTTAGATCCACTCTTTAACATCCTTAAAATGCCCACAGACATGGGGAACAACCTTCCCTAATATCCCATTTACAGTCCCCACCAAGTCCCTTTTTTTGTCCATGGTGTAAGCTCTTGAGTTTGGACTTCCCGGGAGGTCACCCAGCCCAGTACTATTCAAACCCAAGGACGCTTAACCCCAACTATCCCAAGACCCTTGACCGATTGGAAAAGGGGGTGCACTCTTATTCATGGGCCCTTTCCCTCTATATTTGAACCCCTATGGATCGTCTCTCGAATCGTTCCCTTTGGTTGCTTACAATCCACCACACTTCCCTGCAAGTTCACGCCCTCGTGAACGGAAGCTAAGAGCCGCAGCTCTCCCGAGAGCCCCGCTCTCTTGACACCCTACCCCTCGGGTCGAGCCCAGCGGAGCAAACTGGACCAGCCCCAAGGTACCATCGACATACCAGCCCATTACGCTAAGGCTATGCTCATTCACCTTGGTCACATCGGTGGTTTAACACCATCTGCATCGCAGTCCCATCTCTCAAGGATTGGGCCATCCATCCATGAGTGACCATCTTAGATCCACTCTTTAACATCCTTAAAATGCCCACAGACATGGGGAACAACCTTCCCTAATATCCCATTTACAGTCCCCACCAAGTCCCTTTTTTTGTCCATGGTGTAAGCTCCTGAGTTTGGACTTCCCGGGAGGTCACCCAGCCCAGTACTATTCAAACCCAAGGATGCTTAACCCCAACTATCCCAAGACCCTTGACCGATTGGAAAAGGGGGTGCACTCTTATTCATGGGCCCTTTCCTTCTATATTTGAACCCCTATGGATCGTCTCTCGAATCGTTCCCTTTGGTTGCTTACAATCCACCACGCTTCCCTACAAGTTCACGCCCTCGTGAACGGAAGCTGAGAGCCGCAGCTCTCCCGAGAGCCCCGCTCTCTTGACACCCTACCTTGAATCATTCCCTTTGGTTGCTTACAATCCACCACGCTTCCCTACAAGTTCACGCACTCGTGAACGGAAGCTAAGAGCCGCAGCTCTCCCGAGAGCCCCGCTCTCTTGACACCCTACCCTTCGGGTCGAGCCCAGCGGAGCAAACTGGACCAGCCAGATGTCAATCAACATGTGGTGCGATTCCCCTAGCCAACCAACAGAGTCGGACCCCAATCCACCACGCTTCCCTACAAGTTCACGCCCTCGTGAACGGAAGCTAAGAGCCGCAGCTCTCCCGAGAGCCCCGCTCTCTTGACACCCTACCCCTCGGGTCGAGCCCAGCGGAGCAAACTGGACCAGCCAGATGTCAATCAACATGTGGTGCGATTCCCTTAGCCAACCAACAGAGTCGGACTTGAGACCTCTCTGATACCAAATATAAGCTTCTGAGTTTAGACTTCCCGGGAGGTCACCCAACCCAGTACTATTCAAACCCAAGGACGCTTAACCCCAACTATCCCAAGACCCTTGACCGATTGGAAAAAGGGGTGCACTCTTGTTCATGGGCCCTTTCCCTCTATATTTGAACCCCTATGGATCGTTTCTCAAGTCATTCCCTTTGGTTGCTTACATATGGCCGTGTTCGCCAACATTGCCACTGGGATAAGGCCCACAAGCCCAACCACTAAGTCTCATTGTCCTCTGGGACTTCCTTACCACATGGCTGTATTATTGGTCACCACACCAAAGGACCATTCTTCTTCCTTTCCATAGTCTGGGACATTGGGATAACATTTCAAAACACGGCGGCCCTACGCGAGCCTCATGGGTACTCTCCCCACCTTCTGCCTTTGGGTGCTCTAGCCATGGGCTTAGAGCAAGGTTCCATTGAGCCACGCTAGGTGTCCAAGTAGGTAGTGCCACCCATATTTAGACTAAGAGCATTGGCCATTTGATCTCCCGGGGGAACTAGAGTCGACTCTTGAACACTTCACCAAGCTACCCCGTTTGTCAGTCCATATTCATTCTAGCCTTGGACATCCCAGTGGTTATCCCATCACCCAACACTTGGGTACAGCCTTCCTGGGCCAAACTAGCCTTTCCTGGCCAAACTGGCTCTACTGGAGTCCTCCTCTTACTATACTTTTGGAGCTCACCAAACCCCCTAGGGTCTGGGAGACGAACGCTTTGGGCTTTCACCCTTGGACTTGGACTTAGACTCGAACTTGGACTCAGGCTTAGCCTTGGTCTCGATTTCGGTCTCGGTCCTGGTCTCGGTCTCAGTCTCGACCTCAGGCTCCATCTCAGGTCCTTCTTGGGCTCCATCTCAGATTCCATCTCAGGTCCATCTTGAACTCCATCTCAGACTCCAACTCGGTCCATCTCGGACTCCATCTCGGGTCCATCTCGGACTCCATCTTGGGTCCATCTCGAGTCCATCTCAAACTCCATCTTGGACTCCATCTTGGACTCCGTCTCGGTCCATCTCGGACTCCATCTTGGACTCCATCTCGGACTCCATCTCAGATTCCATCTTGGTCCATCTCAGACTCCATCTTAGACTCCGTCTCGGTCTATCTTAGACTCCATCTTGGACTCCATCTCGTGTCATGTGATGGTCCTCTTGTGTCCCTTTTCTAAGGACTCTTTTATTGCTTGCTTCATTCTCGTTCCTTGAGCACTCTAACGGGAGTTCCACTTCCGCTCTCGACTCTTCAAGTCGGAGTTTTTAGTCCAAACGTATTACGCTCGTTTGGCTTTCACTTTGGCCACTACTACGTGGCACCATTTCGGCTCCACTTTGGGGCTTAAGGATTTGTGTTTCACACTTATGTGTTAATCTCATTCTAGTCTTAAATGCTATTTATTGAAAGTGCCTAGATCTACTCATTTGGCATATCTACAGAATGTAGAGATTGTCTTGAATACAATGGCTATGTCCAAATTCACAATCTAGGGACATTCTATATTTAATAAGTTTTGAGCTTGTTCTAGAAACTAACTCTTGGTATTAAGGGTCAATAAGGGTGAAAGCCCAAAGTATGTGTGTGTTCCTTAGAAGGGCAGGGGGGGGGGGGGAGGGCATAGGGGGGTATAAGGGGTTTCAAATGTATAGTAGGAATAGTGGGTAGGTTAGGTATAGCTAACCAACTTAAGGTATAGTCTAGCTCTTACTTACGTGCCTGTCTTTGTTTTGCATTCGGCTCGGGTTTAAGCCCAAGTCCCATACCATGCTAACTGGTGAAGTACCCATATCCTCGTGTTATGCCACTAGTATGCTAA